CCTGTGGAACTATAATAGACCCCCTAGTAAAACAATTCTCTCCAAACTTAAATCTGATTTTCCGTACCTATAGTACGAAGATTTTGGTACCCCCTAGAGGTTCTGTTGTTTTTTTCGGACCCTCAAAAATATCCTCCACACCCCCTAGTAAATACTTTATGACTGGTCCCTAAACCAGTTTCAGCCTTTTAAATTAGATATTAAAAAAAATGGTTTGACTTGAATCTTAACAAACTTGCTGCATACCTAAACTCTGATCATCATCTAAAGAATCGCTTTGGTGATCCATTTTCTCAGATTCTGCCATTGTGTCCACAAGAGCAACAGGAGTGATATTATGTCTTTGAGAAAGGAACCTGTCCATCTGCTCAAAAAATACCCACTTATTGCTTCTACCATTTCACGATTTTTTCGTTTTATCTTTCTCAGCTTTATACTTTTGTCTTAATTTTTTCATTTTATTTACAACTTCCTTTAATGTGAAGTCAGAAAAACCTTTCGCTCGTAACTGATCCTACAAAATATATTGAGTAACATTCAAATTATACAAAGTAGCATTCTAAACGTGTTACGTGTACAGTAACTTTTATTTTGTATTAAAATGACGTAAATATATATTGTTTAAAATTTCCAACATAATATACGTATTATGCTATTACACACTACCAGAACTAGCCATCTTCCTCAACGTGGTCTATTAAAAGTTGTGTTTTGCAGTTCTGTTGCATGCTCTATCGTATGCCAATGCCATGTGGCTATTAAAATTGCAATGATGCCAACTCGAATCAGTCGAATGCCACCCTAAAAATTATGTTAAAATATTAAAAAATATGCGGAATAACTTACCAGTAACCTCTGATAAACTTTACTACTTTCTTTAGACCCTTTGGACTGATCAAATGCAACCTGAATTGCTTCATCGCACCACAGATTAAGCAGGGTTTTTGTTGCTTCGTTGCTCCATACTTTCCCTCTGTTTCTCTTGACGGCGGCCATTTTGCTTAATACTAATTCCCGCGAAATATTTCGCGCCACCGAAAAGTGCTGAAATAGCAAAATTTCGGGCACGGTGCCGCTTATTTGGCGGGCCGAGACTACCTCAAGAGATGGTCTCGGCCCGCCAAAAATTTTAGGTACGCGTACCGCAATCGGACAGGCCCGGTGCCGTTTACACGACAAAAATCAAGAGTGCCGTGCCCAAAGAAATGGGTCCGCGTGCCAAAATTTAAGAGTGCCGTGCCCAAAATTCTTGTCGTGTAAACGGGGCTTGTATCTCATCTCACAGACAGTATTAATAAAATAAATTCCATCGTTCAGTAATCAATATAAAACATCACCGTTTCGGTTTGCCATTGAAATTTAATGAATAAAATATTGTTGGTCTGTGTTGTTGTGCGTAATTTGAATAGAATGCACAAAATCTTGAATTCCTATATGTATATGATATAGTTGAGGTTGGGCATTTAACAGCCATTTCCCGATTTTCCATCTCAGGTTCTAAAATACTTGTCTTTATAATTGAAATGAAAGCAGTAAACGCAAGATAAATCAGACAAAACTACGGTACTTGTAAATCAAAACACGCGCAAGTTTTCTTAACTGAGACTGCAATGGCAATGAGAATAGCCTCAGCATAATGGCGGTCGTATTAATATAAATACGACAATCGCAGACAACAATCACTATAATTCTCGCAGTATTATAATAACTCACCTTATTCCTTTCGACGTTTATCACATCTTTGAAGTTACAGGCGAACTAATTCTAAAGCATTGACGCTGTGAACCACACGTTTTGAATTGCATTGGCGGCCAGACATTTGTCATTCAAATACAAACAGCAACCTTGCACGCTTCTTCCTCACACTGTTTTAAAGCCATCTGTATGCTTGAAATATGAATATACTAAAGCCATTTTAATCAGTTTGTATCGCTTCCATCGCACTGACACTTAGAAGCAATCCTAATAGAACCCTCGCACCACAATAGCAGATATATTCCCATACAAACGACCACAAACTATATAAATGCCAGTATTGATGTGAGAAGAAGGTATTAGATTTCACGGTGGCGCTATCCTCATTGGTTGAAAGCTCGATCATGCGGCGCGCGAATATTCAAATATTTCGGCTTCGTTGTGTGTTATCTTCATATTGTGTTGCTACTGCTGCAAATTATAGCGTGTTATAATATTTGAAATGCGATATTTTGAGGTCCAATTTTGCCAGTTTCCAATCTGTATGATGAAATGCATAAACATACATGACACATGCATGTGACATGGGAACTATTTCTGTTAATTTATTTTTTATATGTCTAAAAGTATTAACTTCTGAATTCAAATGTTTCATTTGTGAAATGGTTTATAATTTGCCAGTAAATTAATATGCGACTGTTTCATGCTAACAGTAAATAATATTCGGATAAATATTTGCCAATTAATTAATTTGGCGAAATACCTGTAATCGGCCAGCCCTAGCCTGTGACGGTAGACCAGGCTCAAAACATGTGTTTATAGACCGTGTTATACTGTAAAGTGTTTTAGTTTCAGAATATATGTTATTCTAACTGCACAAACAGTTTTAACACCACCAAAAAGGTGCTATTTTAACACCCGTGCTCAGTGCTAATTTAACACCACCAAAAAGGTGCTATTTTAACACTCGTGCTGCGTGCTAATTTAACACCACCAAAAAGGTGTTATTTTAACACCCATGTTCTCACTCCACAAACAGTGCTAATTTAACACTGGGGAATACAAATTCGTAGCACCACTTATGGTGTTATTTTAACACCAAGAATTTAGCACCAGAAACCGGTGTTATTTTAACACCACCTGTCCTTAAGTGGGTGTTATTTTAACACCTCTAAAGTGGTGTCAAACAATTTAAGTGTTAAATTAACACTTTGCAAAATATTTTTATTTATGTCGTGTTAAATTAGCACCGAAAAAGGGTGCTAAAATAACACCTTTGTTTAACACCACCAGTTGGTGTTAATCTAACACCACCCGAGGTGTTATTTTAACACCCTGAAATTAACAGTGTATAAATGTATATATATATATATATATATATATATATATATATATATATATATATATATATATATATATATATATATATATATATATATATATATATATGTTATAATTTCTAAGAGATTCATGCAGAATGTTGGGTGTTTTCTATTTGAATACGGAGTTTCTGAGAACGTTATAAAAATGTCCTCTTTTTTGAAAGCAGAAAGTTTTGGTACTTTACGTAGTATACAACACACCCTTCCTGAAAGTGGTATAGAGCTTCGCTTTCGTGATTGAGATGTCTAGAGCCCTTATCTTGTTGGAATTGACTCTGCACTAAATCATATATACATGCAGTTATATATCGTGTAAAAGACCTGTTTAGAATTATGTCATTAGCAACAAGTCTATAGGATTGCATGCATGGGGTTAGGATTAGGATTATTTTCTGAAATAATTCCTAATAAATTAATTTGTTTCTAAGTTGGTATGTGCAGTCAACCTAAGCAAGAGACTGGGCTGTCTGTTCAGTGGTATTAGAGAAATTTCATTGAAATCAATTTATGTTTTCGTAGTGTACATTTCTAGTTGTAATTTATGTATGGGGTTTGCCTTGTTGGGACTTCGAGTCCGTTCGCCAATCCCATATCTAACTCGCATTTGTTTGTTGTAATGTCTTCTGTTCCGTTCTCACATAGTATTGCAAATTACCTAGCGAGTTTGACTAATTAAAGCTTATTATTATTAAGTCTGATGTACACTAAAAGGTAAAGTCAAGACGAACCGCTGCAGGCAAGCAACCGGGTGGAATGATTCAAAGTTAGTCTGAGAAAGATCTTATAACATTAATTCTAACTATTACCAAATCTTTGTGTGTGTTTTGGTGTTATGTACTCAGATGAATATAATGTTTGTGATGTTACTCTGAATGTATATCCACACCGGTCGATCCCAAAGGTCGCGGGTTCGATTCCCACCGTGGTCAGGCTAACTTTTCAGCCTGCCCGGTGTGGATATATAATACACTCAGAGTAACATATCAAAAACATTATTAACATATCTATTTTTTAATAGTCTTAAATATAGGATAAGCAATGTGTGTTCAGTGGGATATAAACTCCCAATAATTAGTTAATAGGTAGATCCCCGAAGGCCGAACCGACTTAGAACATGCATGATCACATCCACGAAGAACTATTTCTTTCTTTATATTTTTTATTATATGTTTTTTTTATCGATTAATACTTACAGCTAGTTTATATGTACTAGTTAAAACATGAGCAGCAATCGATTTTATCAGATATATAAAGATATATGAGGCGAAGCCGAGTATTTTTAGGTCTGATAGTAAAATCAAAAACGATCGATCTAGTAAGTTCATTGGCGAAGCAATTTTCAACTGAATATACGTTGTGTAGCTAAGTCGAGAAAATCAAAGTTAAAGTTTACGTAAATCCTTGAAGCGAAATCTCTATCTGCACATATAAAGATACGACACGCTTGTGATTTTTCTTTGTGTTTTCCTCATGAATTAATTATAATAATTAATTCCTTTTTGAATGATATATACTGTAGAATACTAATAACGCTTTGTTCATCATATGTTGAATGCTTCATTACTAATGAATCACATAGACTCGCTGTAATTGCTATGAAGGCAAACTCGCTATGAGATAGGATATTATAGGGTATATAGATTGCAGCATACGGTATTCTGATTGGCTGAGTGTGATATGCATGTTCTAACCACTTTACTGCATGTAATTTCTGTTTGTGTATGAAACTTTTATATATCTTACTAAAATATTGTAATTGAAAAACTACATGGAGATATAGACTCCCTGTCAGTAAATACTATTAAAAAACTGAAAAGATAAAGGGCTCTAAATCTACTGTCTCAATCACAGAAACGAGGCTCTATATATACACGGCTATGTATTTTCCGATAGAGCGGGTTGCATATGCAAGTAACAGAGTGATTAATGAATATTCCAGGCCAGCATGAGTCTCCTCTTGCGGGTTACTGAACTAGTGACGGATGCATGAACCTTTTCTTGATCTCTCATGCATGAGAACATGCAGTACAGAACTGGTAGAGTGACTTATAGTTAAAATATGGCAAGCTTAATCAGTAACAATTGTGTTTCTGACATGCAGGTTCAATTATAATAATTATTTAAATTATATATATATATATATATATATATATATATATATATATATATATATATATATATATATATATATATATTTGTGGATCGAATGTAAATAACTAATCATGTTGTTTTCTTATGAGAACAAATCAATTATATTATACAACTGTCAATTATTATATTACGAAGTTTATTATACAGCCACTCCGATCTGAAATTTCACTCAGTTGGGGAAAAATTACTGCGACTTCGAACCTCCCCCGTCCAATCACCTTTCTATTAATACGCCCTTTGTCTGACTTTGGAACAAACAACTGATTAGCAAGTCACTCTTAAACCGCCTTGATCTCAATAACATATAACATAATAATACATTTATACCTGCATCCTGATAGCATGCTTATTTTAGTAGAACTATTTATTGCCATAAAACATTTTCTGCTTTGCAATATGCAAAGAAAACACGTCCCGTGTATAGATATATACGAGTAGCTAGATCAAAAGTGATAGACCACGTAAATTTTTCAAAACACATGAAATATAACTATTCCTAAAGGCCCTGTTACACGGTGCAATTTTTCATGCAACTTGTCTCGCAATGTTTAAAAAAAGATTTTGATAATGCATTGCAAGAGGTGTTACACGCTGCAATGATATTCATGCAACTCGCAACGATACGGGACAGAGGCATGCGAAGAGAATAGGGAGAGGCGCAATTTGGCGCCAAATTTTAATTAAAGTAAAGCGTGTACTTGGGAGAGCCAATAGGAACTCTCCAAGCATTAAACATTGCGAGACAAGTTGCACGAAGCCATGTTACACGCTGCAATGCTAAAAATAATTAGTGCAATCGCTGCCAAAAGTGGAACCGACTTCTACTCTCTGCAATGCTTCATGCAACTTGTCTCGCAACGATTTTGACCATTGCAAGGCATGTTAAACGGTGCAATGACTCGTGCAACTTGTCTCGCAACGCCATTGCGAGACAAGTTGCATGAAAAATTGCACCGTGTAACAGGG